TGACAAAAAAGCCACTTTTGAACAGGCCAAACACGCTGTCTCCCATGTTGTTGTGTTAGGTCCCAGTCATCCCCACGAACCTTTGCAAGTCCTAGTATCAGGTGATGATATAGCACCTTGGAGTTTGTAGCAAAGAGGGAAGGGGAGGCAATACAAGTGCAGAGTGATGGGCAGTGCATAAGGGATGAGCCATAGGGGTTAGTAAGTGACAAGCGGACAACTGGACCGTACACGGGAAACCATTGTGGAGTCAGGACTTAGGGAAGCAGAAGGCAAAAAAAATTCAGGAATTCAAACCTGTGGTTTTGACAAGTTGATGCTTATGTCACCCAAGCTGTTGGGGAAGAGAGGGAACACAATGCCACAGCAGACCTGTCAGCTCAAATTAGGATTGTTACTTTATCTCCTGATGCTCTGTCTCCCGGTACTCATTTCCTGATGAGGAAACCCTTGCTTAGCAGGCACATGAGAAGTCCAGACACCTTGGTGTTGATGCACATGTAAATGTGGCAGTGTGCCGTTTGTGCAGTACTGAAAGCTAAAAAGTTACCTCAGTAGCCTTACGAGCAGATTCAGTGAGGCCCTGTTATTGGTCATACCGGACAAACAGATTATATTGGACCCTTACTAAAAACGCAGGGATTACAGAACATACTGGTGATGGTAGATACATATACCAGCTATGTTGCTGTGTCCCCAGCTGCACAGGCCGACCAGAGAGGAACACTGAAAGGCCTGTGGTTACTTAGCCAGTGGATAGGCCCACCTGCCTGCATCCAGTCGGATAATGGGTCTCATTTTAGAGGTCAAATGGTCCAACAGTGGGCGGCCAAGCACGAAGGACACAGGGTATATCATATACCTATCACCCCAGAGGAGCTGATCTAATGGAACAGACCAATGCCTTATTAAAAAAGCAGATGCATGCACGGCTCCCCTCTCACGCTCTCCATAACTGGCCAACAGTGTTATTACGGGTTGTAAAGAATTTGAATAGTAAAGCATGCTTCCAAGGCTGTACCTCCTATCCTAGCGTCTTCTGCTGGGACATCAGCACTAGGAGGTACAGTCCGGGATGTTGGCAGAGCTCAATGACCCCTCGAGAGTCAGAGGCAAGTGCAAACACCAGACTCTTCAAGGGAAACTCATCCCTGCAGATGGGACACATGGACCAGGAGCCACATACTTAATCCTAAAGGAGCAAGCAGACATTCCTCATTACATGTCTGAACTTACATTGTATGTAAAAAACGTTTTTGTTTTATCTCACGCAGAACTACTACGTGGAGCCTTACAGTATTGCTTTTGATCTCTGCATGCTGTATATCAGTGAACAAGAAGTGCTGGACATCTCTGCCCTCCAGCAGCACCAAAGCTCCTCTCCATCTACTACATCACATAACCGGACTGTTTGGTGAAACTTGCACCACCATGACCTAGGGTACATGGGACTAGGGGTGGAACCTGATGGCAGGACATCTCTGATGGTCCTAGCTCCAAGGTGACTGCTATCCTACACTTATTCTCACAATCAATGATGTGTCACAATAATGTTTTATTACTCTTGTATTATTTTAGTAATTGTTTTTTTGTAAAATAATCTTTCTAGTAGCCAAAAAACTTACTGATATAATCTGCAACTTACGATATCTGTAGGAAAGGTCAACTGTATGTGGATCAAGGGGTGGAAGTTAGTCATCCTGACCGGAAGATCATTGTACATCGAGGAGTTAGTGATCCACAAAACAGCTGACCTGGATTGGCCCAAGCCTGTGCTGTGCTGTACAGTGCTGCACATACAGCCTGGCCTCCAGGCCGTGCTGTGCCGCACACATTCCTTGGCCACAGGACGAACTTAGCCAGCTAATTGCAATCAAGGAGCCTGTCGTCAGCTCCCACTCAGTACTGGCGATTACACCACCTGCGTGGCCTTGCCTTTATCTGAGAGCACAGCAACGAGTTCTCATGTGAACATCCTTTTTGTTTGACAGTAGAAATGATTAATAGAAATGTTTTCTCGTAAGAAAATCCTGTAAGAGCTCAAAAGATCACAGTGCTGGGTAACCTTTCCACCGACGGGATCTGTATGGTGTGCCTCGTTGGAGACCCATCCAGTGCTGCACAACTCGGGGCTCCCAGCGCCTGGAGGGATGTGAGATTACCTATACTATCCTCTTTTTTGTTGTAGTGTTAGTTCCAATAAACGTCATTTTAAGTGATACTTTACAGAGTCTGAGTGCTTTTCTTACTGGAATCATAATGAACCAGCACCTCCTGGTGCCAAAACATTCAGGTGTTTTTCCAGAAGCAAGCCTGTATTTTTAAAAATCATTCAGATTAACCACGATGATAATATTTCATCTTCTGCCTTTATGTGAACCAAGTACTAACTGACAAAAAATCTTCTTGGAATCTTTAATGTCACTCAGCCTGTAGAATGTTTTGTGCTCTTTTAAGGCTTTATCGCATCTCTGACCCCCTTCCAAAGGCCAATCAAATAGTATGTAATTTTCAGTTCATCTTTATCATTCAATCAGTGGATCGGGCACCTCTTGCCTCCCTCTGCTCTCACTGTCTGAACAATTTTTCCATCTGCTTGAGAAATGGAAGACAGTGAAAAAAAAGAATTCCTTATTAGTATGTATCGCTATAAAGGCTTTATTGTCATATTCTGTACATTAATTCATTTTTTATGAGTGCTACATTACTCATATTCCCTGACAAAACCTACCATCTCGGCCCAAATCAACAAAGGCCTGCAGACATCTGAGGTGCCCAAACACACGTGCAGAAAAGGAAGGGTGATAGAAATGCAAGGTGCGTCACCACTGGCAGGCAGCGCGGTGGGCTTTTCACAACAGAGCCATGATCTAGCAGGCCTTGGTCTGTGCCAAAGCACAGTGGCCATTTAGCAGAGGATGCAAGGCAGCAGAGACCCAGTCAACCTGTAACGGTACATGCCATTTTTTTTCCTTCACAGAAAAATGATTGTGCTTTGCCGAGAAGTGGATTTCTTCCAGAATTTATGCAAGGACTCCCTCAAGTCAATACCCACTCCATCTATGGACTGCAGCAAGGATTTGGCTACTGGAGTTTGGGGTGGTTATGACAGTCACATTTATATTTAGATTGTGAGTGTCAGATAGGCAAAGTCATGCATTGAAGGTTATGCACACACTGATATGAGTGACACAGGCACCATGATGGGTGCACAGTGATTTTCAGCGTTCCTCAGAGAACGCTAAGAGTTCTTGTTTAATAAAGAATAAAACCTACTTAATGACTACCATCTAGTTTCATGGTCTCACATCCTCCGCTACTCCTTTCCACTGCATACGCACTAAGCTTGGTAAGAAGTGTCAGGTATGAATTTGCAATGGGTTACTGATACTAAAGCCAAGTTCATTACATCCCCTACACAACCTAGAAGTTATTAATCTGGAAAAGATTTTACAGATTTGCACTTATCATCTCCTTGCTGTCAATTAGGAACTAAGAAGGTATGCTGTAATTGTGAGCAACTATTTTCACAGTCTTAATTTGCCCCATTATGTCCAAAATTGCTTTTGCATTTTTTGTGGATGGAGGCAGTAACAACTTTTCTTAGTTTGCACAAGCAAACGCTCTAAGTAAAACGTGAATTTCTCCCATCATTTATCATATACTGCAGAATAAAATCCTTGGAAGGTATTCTTGTACTTGATGACGCAAGTCTATCCAATTTCTTGCACTGTTTAGGTCAAGTCATTTACTCAGGTAATTTACAGTGGAATGGGATGTGTTCAGAGAACAGAATTTAGTTTATGACCAAAACAGCCAGCAATTGTCTGGACTGTGAAATTACCTTCGATGCTAGGAAAAAAAGTTACTTCTTAAAAAAAGACAAAATGAAAGTATTTATAACTAGCTGCCATCAGGAAGTGACTGTTTTGAAGGCTGTGATTGATGTCCTGATAGCAACAGGAATGTCTGAAAGGGCATCAGCCATAAAACAGCGTCATTTTCTGTGGTGCATGCAATTAGTAGTTTTATCTTTTATATCATATCCCTTCCTCCAAGAGGAAAAAAAGCATTAAAGGTCAGTTTTAGAATGAAAATCATACTTATTAATATGCTGAAAACTCTAAGGTAAACCGGACTGCAAAAGCTTCAACTCATTTTGGGCAGCTCATACCAAACTATAGGCATTGCTGGGCAGTTTATCACGTGTCAATTTATTTCCTTACTTCGACACACTTCTCACTTCTTATCCGAGTCTCAAAAACAAAGAAAGGAAACAGCAAAGTCATTTTCTCCGATGACCGAAGAGAAAACTGAGGATTCACCACCACCGAACGCGGGCACTGCCGGCTGAACAGCAACAGACACCCTGCAGGGAAGCGCCAGGTGCCTCCGTACGGTTACACCTTCTGAAGGGAGGGTTACAGCTAGGGAGAGGCGCATCTCAGAAACATCAGCTCGATGCTCATATTCACACCAGCGTCTAAATTACACTTTTAGAATTGCCTCCAAAACTGATGGGAGGGGGGGAGGCCTGGGGCAAATGCAGTCTCTCACGTTTCCATGTTTCTCTTTCCTGATTTCCAGTTAAATTATGAAGAAAGGCCTGAATGTATTTTTTTTTTCTTTAACTTTTATCATAACTATTTGCTATCTGTTCTCTTTGGTCCCTTGACAAAGTCCATCAAAATTCTCCAGCGTTCAGGCCCACGAAGTCCTCGCCCCGACAAGGGGAGAAAGTCAACTCCAAATTAAAAAAAAAATAAATAAAAATAAAAAAAAAAAAAAAAAAAAAAAAAAAAAAAAAAAAAAAAAAAAAAAAAAAAAA